ATCGATTGCACACAATTACACACTCGTGGACACAATGAGTACGAAGTGGCTGATATGATCGGCAAGTTTGACAGTAGACTCGCGATTTTAATTTTCAAAGAATTTTTTCTAACATCGGTTGGTTGAAAAGACTATTTTACTGCTATATAGGTGTCATCAATTGTCACTAAAGTACCAATTTATTTTGAGTGATCTCAGTTGAGTTTTGTACAGTGTTGTTTAAAATGTTGAGAATCAATAGAGGTAATACAAAAAAGTACACTAATGCTGCTATGTGTGGCCTAGGTCGGATATTGTTTCCAGAGTGATGGTACTGCAACTGCAGAGCAGGGTTTGAAAGATATTTATTTAAAAAATAAACCAAAATTTGTACATGGCCAGGCCCATGCATGCAGACACGGACTGTTAACCGTGGTAACACTAACAATATGTAAAACTGTATCGGAGCTTGGAGATAATTGATAATTTATGACACTGATGCAGTGATAGATCCAAACTTCTGGAGCAAAATCAAACTTGTCTTCAATCCTGAAAATCTCTCTGCCAAATAATTGTCTAAATTCTGTTTCTCTGTGTAATCAAAAATGTATTCTTTATGTTATTATTGCAGGAACTACTGACTACAAGCATGAAATAGATGTGACGCAATTGGATTTAATTGATCAACAGTACGTACTGTTTGGCAATGGGAGAAAGTGGTAACGGGAGGACCTTTGCTTATTTGTTCCTCCTCGATTTGGCACCATTCAGTATCCAGTGATATTTCTTTTGTATTGTGTTGTTTCGGCAATATATCAATAAAGCAACAGTTTGACTGACTTGCCTGCATCATCACTTTTGTGCTGAAAACCTTATTTTGGTTGTTTGAAAGTCGCCATTTTCCTTTTTTATCCTCAACATTGACCTTCCGTGTCTTCATTCATCATCAGAACTCTACCTTTGACATCGACCATTCGTTTCTTTGTTCATAATCATCATGATAACTTTACTTTCGCCATATCGACATCGTTTCTTTGTATGAAGACCACGCCATCTTTCTGTTTAACAGTATACAAACCCCAGTTTGTATATTTACACCGTCGATTTCCGTTCTTTGTTTGAAGATCAGGATTTACGCTTACCTTCCACATCGTCAGAAACTTTGCTATTCTTTTCCACATCGTCTCTTCTTGTTTCTTCGACATCGTCAGAAACTTCGGTCTTCTTTTCCACATCGTCAAATCTTGTTTCTTCGAGATCATCAAAAACTCTACCTTTGTCGTCATCAACAGAATAGACCCTAATTGTTTCTTTGACATCGTCGGTTCATCATCATTGACAATAACATCAACGCATTCGACAAGTTTGATGATAATGTAGTGTAATTTGAAAAGCGGCAGTCTTTCGCTTTATAAATAGACTACCTTAATTGTTAACATGTGACTGTTATTGGAATATTTCCTGGCTAGATTTTAGCACGGATTTGAATAAACGCTCATGGTTTAAATGATATATCTTGTGTCCACTATTTTGTATTATAGCTGTCTGGTCTCTCGTGAATCACAGTAGAGAGAAAAGGAAGAATTAAATTAGGAATTAATTGGGATGTTGACCAAGTTACGATCATCGATCATGATCATTCAACTCCTAATCCAGTTCTTGCCAAAACTCTATATGCAGCAACATCTTTTCAAAAAGCCACAAACATGCTCTGAAGCACTCATTTTTTATGGTAATTTGATCAATTATTTGATTGTGTTTGTTACAAGGACACGTCTGTATAATTTCTGAACGTATTTTACACCGTATCAAAGATTGCAGTAACTTCTTCCTTTACAATATACTGCTCTAAGGATAAGCCATGTTGGGAGGGCCACAGCCTTCTGAAGTCTTAATAAATGCATATTCCACATTCTTACTCTTTTTCTTCCTGTTTCTTGATCCCCTCCTTTTCTTTCTTTCTTCTCTTTTCTCCCTTTTTATTCTCTTTCTGTCTATTTTTCTTCTTCTCTTTCTTCTTCTGCCCCCTTTTCCTCTCTCATTCTTATTTCTTCTTCTCATTCTGCTTCCTATCATTCCTCTTGGTCATGTTTCTTGTTATGCTTAATTCATCATTCATACTTGTTCTACAGCTTTTGTATGAATGTAGAGTTCAGATAAAATCAATTTGTTTTCTCTCTCTATAATGTAATTTACACATATCAGTCACATATATTGTTTCTAAATTCTATTTATTAATTTTGAATGCATTGTCTGTTTGGAGCCACAGTGGCATTGATCTGTATTACTTTGACATGGAGTCAGGGCCCTTGTGACCCCAAACAGACGATATGTTAAACGTGTCCGTTAATATTTGTCTACATTATGCATCACAAATTCCATTAGGAATAATATGAAGTATTAGCCCTGCATTGTTAATAATAAAACATGACCTGGGCTTCTTCTCTTTTCTACTTGTAGTATCTATACAAGTGTATGTACTATAATCATGTTTGTTAATAAAGTGATATTGAAACAAAAACTGCTGCAAAATTTAAGAAACTGAAATTGGGGTTTTCTGCCTACAACAATAAACTCAAATAGGGCATTCTGTCATCAATATTCATCTTCAAACATATTTGTTTTAAAAAATATTTGCAGAAGTGTGTGTTAATTTTTGCCACAAAACTTGGGCTGCTAACACTTTACATTTCTTGAAACCTCTCAAAAACTTATTACACTTGAAACGTGTAGTGTTTGTTGACACATGAAGTAATAACCAACACCAAACATGATTATGGTAACATTTGTTAGGTTATTTTAATATAAACTGTATAAACAAGTATGAACATAGGAAAATAGATCTGTAGTTGATACACACAGCTTTTGTAATAGATTTTCAAGAACATTTAAAAAATGTGCTTAAAAATGCCCATCTATTTAGTGTGGAAGACAAAACAGAAGTACATTTAATAACATAATTGGCGGTAATGCTTATTTGTAGGGGTGGCGATTTCTTTTCATGACCGGGGGGGACGAAATGCGAAGGACGGGGGAGCAGTGGCGTATATTGAACAAAAAGGTTGGGGGGGGGGGGAGAAAAAAAAATCTGCATCCCCACTCTAACATTGTACATGCAGGCCTCGCGGAACGTTTTTCATAGAGGGGGAGGCTAAAGTATTTTATTAGGTAGAGCAAAGCGAGCATAGCAAGTGGAGCGTAAATTGGCATGTGGTCCAGGGGCGTAGGCCCGTGAAGCTCATGGGTTTTAGGCATTTAATAACGGTCAGATGAGCATCCAGGGGCTCGTCGTAGAGCCCCTGGTGGGGTCCAGGGGGCAGAGCCATGCCATTTCAGCAACATTTGTAAATCACTGGTATCGAGTTAGAAATAAATCAAGTTTGAATTTTATCACGGGGGCAATTGCCCCCAAGCCCCCCCCCCCCCTTATCATTACGCCAAGGCGAGGGAGCAAAGAGAACGAGAGGGGTAGAGGTTACGGAAGTGACTATCACCTCACAGGTTTTTGAAGTTTTGTTGTATTAACAAATTACATACTTTAATTAGCAAAAGAATAGTATAAAAACAAGCAATATACCTGTTTCACACTTCACTTTTCGAGAATATTTACTGTACACTTCGAAGAATATTATGCGGGGGAGCGTAGCTCCGGAGTGAGAAGATTTTGCATTTTTATTTGTCTAAACGCTGCACTCTAGGGCCCTCCAGAGCCTAAAAGTTTGTTACAGTCTTTAGTCAGTATTTGCTATACACTTTTTTTCTCACTTTTTCAATTTTTCAGGGGGGGATGATCCCCCCCCCCCCTAAAAAAAATTGAGGGGGGGACGGGATCGCCGCCCCTGCTTATTTGAGAATGGAAAATTGCAAACATACGAGTATCTTATATGGCATCAAATGACCATTTGCTTCAGCAATGTGAGAGCCGAACAATTGCTAAACAATTTACATGTATAAATAGTGGAGAGAAAACTTTGGAATGAACGCAAGTATTTTTTCCCCTTGAACCATAATTGCGTATCAATATCATTTCAATACCTTTATTACAACATACACATGTATAACAAGAGATCAATGGACCTTGTGTTTAACAGAGCCTGTAAAATTAGTGGCCACATCAATTATTACTATACTATATTACTATATTATCACTTGTGCCCTTGGGTACCTACATCGAAAATGTACCACAGATGATTATTTCTTTAATATACCCCCCCCCCCATGCATAAACATCTGGCAACACTACGTACAAGAGACCTAAAAGTAATAATTTTCCACAATTGAGACCCTTAGGGGAGCACTGCCCCCGAGTCCTCATGAGGGGCAAGGTAATCAATACAAACAAATTCAGATCCCCTCTCAAAATGTCAAATTTTATTGAGTGCCAGCATTAAGTTTTAGAGTCAAAGTAAAGAAATTGCTATATACATGTATGGACATTTTCGGGGGTTCCGTTGAGGGGCAAGGTACCTCAACAACCTATCATTTCTCATGAATAATCCCTGCCAAATTTGATTAAATTTTGTTGTACTGATGTATTTTTTCAAAGAAAAATTGAACAATTAACCTTAATGCTTCCTGCTGTAATATGTGCCGGAGGTATAAAAGTAAAGTTAATCTTTACTAAAGACCCCCCCCAAAAAAATATATATACAAAATTAAAAAATTAAAAAAAAATCCTCATATTAAAGGTACTATGTCCCTTTTGCAGCCAACCTCAAATTCTGTAGAACTTTGCAGGAATTATGAATATGTCATGTATGTCCTATCTGTAAAATGTAAACGTTAGCAGTGTCCTAATATTCAAATTATGCAAGGAAACCCGTTTACTTGCTAGACTTCACTGTCAGACACTATTGAGTGTCTGACTGGCTTTTTTTTCTTCTCTGGTAATAACATACATGAAATGAGCTGTAAAGGGTACATTAACATTTGTCTACATCAATAACCCACTTCTTGTGACGGCCAAAATTAAACTGATTGAATCTTTGCGCAGCATAAAACAGATGACCATTCGGTACAATGGTCTGAACATCAAGACTGTTACTTATTGGCCCATTTGAAGACTTTTTCAAGCCCAACTTTCTTTAGGGCAATTCTAAATTAGTATTATCTTTCAAATGTCATGGAATTTAACCTTTTCATTTGTTTTGGCCTGCAAATGGGACATCAATCATGAGTGTCCCATTTGATATTGGACTGCATAAACACTCCGAGCAGCTTGATGACATTGCAGTGTTGGACAGTGTGATCAGCAAGGATAAGGCGAGAGGGCATCGGACAAATAGCTCGGGCAATGTCATGCTCAGATGATTCTGGGCAGTGGCGTCGAAGTCTGAGGATTCTACAAATGCGCTTCACCTGCCGAACACTATAAAGGGAAAGATAAATATATCACAGTTTAAACCCTAAATACAATTAAATATATACTATAATAATATTAGGAGGCCCCAACAGTTGATTTAAAATTATGCAATAGCATTATCAGATATTTTATGAGCATGCCATTCAAAGCAATGATACATGAAGGTGGGTTTTATGTTATTAAGAAATGTTCCAGGTTTTTGAAAGATTTATATTTCGGGTTAGGTACATCCATGAATAAAATTATAACAAATACAAAAACATCACGTATAAAAAAAATTGTTTCATAGTTCATACCTCTCTTCCTGATGCCATCTCGATAATGCTCCATGAATACCCTGCTACCGTAAGATGCAATCTGGTAAAGTACTGTGCATTATAGAATTTGTGAAATCAAGGAGCAAAACTATTTTTTTTTAAACTTAGAAAAGCATCCACATATACACTAAATAACTGTTTTCACATCTATTATATCAAGAGGTTAGCTTTGGAATACTAGTTACTCATGTGTTAAGATCCTACCAATGGTTTACACATAAAGTGAAGTATTGCAGAACACTTTTGGGGTTGAAATCAAATGAATTGCACATTTACAATGACTTGAAAATATGTATGACTTGAAATATTTCAAAGGTCATACATTTAGGTCTGTGACATTGTTCCTGATTAAAAGAACATTAAGACTCGTAAGCATACCAATATACCAGTACAGTTCTCTTGATGCCAATATTATAGAAGTGGTAACCTTGCTTGATTCATAATGCGGAATGAGGATCGCTATTCATAATACGGGAAGAAGGTTGCTATTCATAATACGGGAAGAGGGTCGCTATTCATAATACGGAATGAGGGTCGTTATTCATAAAAATTAAATAAGCAAACAAAATAATAACAAGGGGAATTTTGAAAAGGGGACACCCCCACTCCCATGGCTGTGGCATAGCGATGGGGGGGGGGGAATGATACATGGCCTTGAATATTTGTCGAAAACATTTATTGAAAACAAATATTTTTGAAGAAATAAAGAAAAAAGGCGTGCTACAATAATGTACATCACCCCTACCCCCAATCAGTCCGACCACGCTGCGCCATTGGCCCACCCTCCCTGCAGCATTCCCTTAGGACAAGTACATATTACCAACAATTTTCGTCAAGGGGATAGACAAAAAAAATATCCGCACCACCCCACTCTTACATGCAGGCCCCGCTGAACGTTTCTAAAGTAGGTGAGGGGGGGGGGTAGGTACAAATTAGGTAGAGCATTGCATAAATTAGCGTGGGGTCTTGGGGGAAGCCCCTGCGGGAGTCAAGGGGTGGAGCCCCTAGAAGCTCAGGAGTTTTATACATTAAATTACCATCGATGAGCATATTTTTATACCCTATTTGTGACACTGACAGGTCACGAATTGGCGTGGGGTCCAGGGGCGGAGCCCCCAGAAGCTCAGGGGTTTTGGGAAATAAATTACGGTCAGATTAGCATCTTTTGATACCTTATTTGTGACATTGACAGGACACAAATTAGGTTAGCTCCAGGGGGCAGAGCCCCTGTAGCTCAGGGGCTTTGGGCAATAATTACAGTCAGATGAGCATATTTGTATACCTTATTTGTGACACTGGCAGGTTAAGAATTGGTGTGGGGTCCAGGAGGTGGAGCTCCAGAAGCTCAGGGGGTATAGGCATTTAATAACAGTCAACTGAGCATATTTTGATACCTTATTTGTGACACTGACAGGTTACGAATTGGCGTGGGGTCCAGGGGGCGGTGCCCCTGGAAGCTCGGGGGTTTCAGGCAACTAATTACGGTCAGATGAGCATATTTTGATACCTTATTTGTGACACTGGCAGGACATGAATTGGCGTGGGGTCCACGGGACGGAGCCTCCAGAAGTTCAGGGGTTTTAGGCATTTTATAACGGTCACATAAGCATGCAGGGGCCTGCCTTCGGGCCCCTGGTGGGGTCGATGGGTGGAGCCCCCCGAAGCTCAGGGGTTTTAGGCATTTAATAAAGGTCAGATGAGCAAATTTTGACACCTTATTATTTTGTGACAAAGGCAGGTCACTATTCTTTCTTTCTTTCTTCATGAATTTGCCATTTTCCAACAAACGCATAAAAAAGTATAATTTACTAAACATTGAGGGAAAAATCTCTGAAAATTATGCCATTTCAGCAGCATTTTCTACCTCTTTTTTGTTCCCTTTTAGCTCTCCTATTTCACTTTCCCTTCCTTCCCCCCGTTTTGGGGGGTGGGGGAAGGGGTGGAGGCAAGGGCTTTTTGCAACTCTTCTTTCTTTCTCTTTCTCCCCTCTTTCCCTTCTTTTCCTTCTCTCTCTCTCTCTTTTTTTTTTTGGGGGGGGGGGGGGGCAAGGCCCGCTGGCCCCCCCTGGATCAGCGCCTGGTTATATTAATTAAAATGAATAGCGACCCTCTTATTGTATTATGAATAGCCACCCTCTTCTCGTATTATGAATAGCGACCCCCTTCTCGTATTATGAATAGCCACCCTCTTCTCGTATTATAGCGACCCCCTTCTTCGATTATGAATAGCGGTTCTTACATGTATGAATAATGACCCTAATGAATAAAGACCCTTTTCTCAAATTACGAATAGTGGTCCTTATGAAAGCGGTCCTTATGAATAGCGGTCCTTATGAATAATGACCCTCTTCTAGTATTTTGAATAGCGACCCTCATTCCGCATCATGAATAGCCACCCTCATTCCGCATCATGAATAGCCACCCTCTTCTCATATTATGAAAAGCAACCCTCCTATTCGATTATGAATAGCGGTTCTTACATGTATGAATAATGACCCTAATGAATAATGACCCTTTTCTCAAATTATGAATAGTGGTCCTTATGAATAGCGGGCCTTATGAAAGCGGTCCTAATGAATAGCGGTCCTTATGAATAGTAAGCAGATCTCATTTTAACAGACCTTTAGATGAGCATACATGTGGTATGTACACTGCATTTCAACTTTTAAACAAAAAGGGTAACTGCCCAATTCTCCATTGACAATTCTAACAGGTCTTAAAAATAAAGTAGTCCTTTTTATATTTAAAGTGGTGTCTATTGGACATTTCTAGTTCATACCTTTACAAATAAAAGTATTTCTTGTGCAAGCTTCATTTAAGGTTCTTGTTAACATTGTTCAGATGATAGAAAATGGTAATAAGGTAGTGACTTCAATGCTTGATATACATTTAAAGATAATCTGAAAGTTTGAGTGAAAACAGGCTATCATTAATGATCAAAATTTGAAAAAATGATCTGCTTAATTCCGGAATTCTCCCAACTATATTATCATATGTATCAACTAGGTTTTTAGCAAGGACAATTAAAAAAAAAGTATTACCAGTCGTTCGACTGTAGTAACACTCCTTCATAAAGAAAACAACATCTTAGGCCAGCCCCCAGGGGTGTTAAAGAGAAGGGAATGCGAGGGATATGAAGGGAAACAACATCAGTGTCTGTAACAGCAGCTTAGCAATCTATAACCCGTCATTATCTAAGATAATTGCAATGATGAACCTTCGTCATTGCCTTGTTTTCGTTCACATTCTGCCCCATTAATATTTTCCTCCTTATATTCCTCGTCAGAAAATCGCATTCGTTTTGCACATGATGCTTGTTATTCCTAGTTAGGTGCTTTCCTCATGTCCTTTTCCTTTCAAATTTCGTAGGCATCATCTCTAGCATCTCATCAAGGTCACCTACTTTTTCGATTTTCGAAATCACTCATGCATGACCGTCCAGGCGCCATTTTGTCCGTTTCTGGTCCATTTTAAGGCCTTTCTTTCTTCCTTCCTATCTCCACTATCACAGATCCTACAAACTTCTAACAAATTCCTCTAGATAGTCTGAGAGATGTTCTTTCATCTGCGACACATGACTTGACCTTCAAAATGCCATCTTCATACTCGAAATTCAAATCTAAAACCGACTCCGTCAAAAATCTCTCAAGTTCTTGAAAAATGGACCCCTAAATAATCTAAAACTGCCATAACTTTCTCATATAAATTCCGTTTTGTATTTAAATCTTACAGTATCTTTATCTCATAATTGCACATAGCCATGCCAAATTTCACGCTCCAATGGCTTTGCATAACATAAATAGCGCCCTCTAAAGTTCTGGGAATTGGCTTTCTCTCTGTGGCCGTATCTCCATAATGGCTTGGCAAACCCGTACCCTTTTTTGGATTTACATACTTGAAGATATGCCCTTTCCAGCCATATACAAAATTATATACCCTATCACTGACCAAATTTGAGAAAATTGCCCTCCAAATTCGCCATTTTCAAGAAAATTGAGAAATAACTTCAACTTGCTCTAAAATGGCGATCGTTATACCTACATCAATGAAACTTTGCAGACATATGTATCCATATACGTGACAACTGTTTACCAAGTTTGGTAAAATTCGAATATGTCAGCGCAAAGTTATCGCCCAAAATGATGAATTTACTATGGATTACGTAATAGCGCGTTCAATGCGCGCAATACATTGAGCGCAGTTAACAATGGTGTCAAACTGACCGCAATGAAGAGCCCTTCGGATGATACCAAGTATTATATATGTTCACACAGAAAATTGTGAGTAAATCGCATTTGAACAAAGATCACTACACGAATTCCGCCGAGTTTCCGCCCGAACCTAACACGTTTCGGCTATGACGTCATTTTTTCAGACTGCTTTTCGCCCCTTAAACGTCCTTTTTTTTCCTTGAAAATTTGCAGTGACATGGCGAGTTCCAATACGCAGGGCACCTCTTGGCCGGATTTTTGAAATTGGTCAAGGGGGCCATTTAAGACGCCATTTTGTCCTATACATCTATTTTACATCACGTGTTTCGATAGGATTATCATAGAAAAAAAGAGAGTGGTTTACAATAACAACCATGAAATTCTCTTTCTAATGATACCAAATACGGCCAATAAAGAGACGTAAAGAGAGAGAGAAAAAACAATTTAACTCCGGCCATAATACAGATCCTGCACGTTTTCCGCCCATTCATTACACGCATTGTCTATGGGGCATATCGGGTTCACGCTTTTGGCCCCCACAACGAACTTGATTGCAATGTCAAACATGCACCAAATCCCATTGGTTTGTGCACGCAGTGCTTGCGAGCCCTTTCTAGGTTCTTTCCCCTATCCCAATTTCTTTCAAACTTCGTAGGCATAGTACCATCCCATCAAGGTCACTGTTGATGCCTTTCTTTCGCCCTACCTATCTCCAATATCACAGAAGCTACAGACTTCGTGCAAATTGCTCTGGATAGTCCGAGAGAAGCTCTTTCGTTTGACATGTAGAAACACGGCGTCATTGCACGCACATCGTTGTGACACGATTGCATTTCTAGTTTTTATTTTGTTATCATTTCAACGCATACACTTAATAAGGATACATTCAGCTTAGTTCCCATCATCCTGAGCTGGTTTGTATGGAGTGTTGATACATGGCAGTTGTACTACAAGTTGTAGGGCTTGCTTGCATGAATGCCAACCAGGTAATCTGTTGAATGAATAATAAAAGAAACATATGCAAACAAAATCTAGTGATAAACTTTGCACATTATAAAAGAAAAAGAAAAACATCATAACACTTTTTTTTTACTCCAAGAGATGAATTTTTGTAAGATAATCACACTGTAATTGGATTACCCTTTAGCGTTTACGGTTAGACTTCATGCATCGTAGGACTCTACAAGTTCGCTGCCCATCGACTAAAAAGTTATGAATCTTATGTTTTTATCAAGTTTATGACAGAGATATAACCGTGTCAGAGGCGTCATAAATACATACGGTAGTACTTAGTCAGGATGTTGTCCTTAATCTTGGCAAAGAGGTCTTCGTGAAACATGTAGCGGACAAGTAGCTTACTAAAGCTGATTTGGTCAAGAAGTTAGACTTATGACGGTTTCGAGAAACGGGCCCCTGGCCTGGGTGCTAGCCGTAATTCGCTAAATAGACTAGTGAATACCTAATAGTAATATAGATCTAACTTAAAGTGACTCGGTAACATTGCCTCAGATTCTGAAACAAAATCATGGATTTAGCTCATGCTGCAATCATAATTTTAAACCTTTAGCTTAGCCTCTGTTAGGTCAGTCAGGAATCCCGTGACTTTTACAAGCCAATCGTCTGTCTGATTATCAAGTTATTTATGATTGGAAATCGAAATCAAACTCTGCGTTTTCCTAACGGTTTTTATAAACTAGGGCCTAAGCCTAGTCTATTCAGGAAAATAAGTATGGTAAAACCGGTCACTCAAAGATTATTACTTTTTTGAGCCACTTCATGATCATTTTGAAGCGAAATTTGTTTAGGGCTTCAATATTCAGTAGGGAAGCTGGTACAAGAATAAGGATCAGCTGCATTTTCGCAGACGTTTCCAATTTCCAATCCGCGCGTTGGTGATGCGAAAAACGGATTCCGCAATGTTTTTATTGATGCATTTTACATTGACTTAAGTTTGTACAGAGACTTTCACATTAGGGGCGATAAATCCTCGAGAAGACGGACAACCCATAAAAGAAGATGGCGCTTGTTTAGAAACCTATCCAAAATTTGACCCGTAACTCTGGCATGGAGATACCCTACTAAAACATACCCAAAATGAAGTAAATATTCATTAAATGTCCAAATAAAAATCGTGAATTAAAAGTTGTTATGTTTATTACCTGTTTCGTGTCAATTTTCTTGTTATTTTTGGAGTATTTTTCGGAAAAACAATGATATCAGTATACCTACACTTTTTCACGGCAAACCGCTGCACAATACAAGTGCAAACCGATGGTGGGTTGCGGGCGGATGCATGCCTGTGTGAAGTTATGTCTTGGATCCTCATTACGGTAGATAACTTCACACAGTCGTGCGCCCGCCCGCAACTCACCATCGATATGCACTTGTATTGTGCAGCGGTTTGCCGTGAAACCTGAGAAAAAGTGTATAGTAATATCATTGTTTTTCCGAAAAATACTCCAAAAATAACAAAAAAACTGACACGAAACAGGTAATAAACATACCGGTAATGACTTTTAACTCATGATCTTATTTGGACATTTAATGAATATTTACCTCATTTTGGGTACCGGTATGTTATAGTAGGCAGTGGCGTAATGAGCAAAAACGTTTGGGGGGGCTGACAAAAAAAAAATCTGAATCACCCCACTCTAACATGCAGGCCCCGCTGAATTACGTTTCTCAAAGTGGGGTCTAGGGGCAAAGCCCCGGTGGGGTTCAAGGGGCAAAGCCCCTGAAGCTCATGGGTATGGGCATCAGTGGCGGATCCAGGAATTTCTTACCGGGGGGGAGGGGGGGCACAAAATGGCATGGGGTGAAATATATGTAAAACGATGAAGTAACAGAACGAGGCTTTAACGGCGAGGGAGCGGAGCGACCAAGCAGGGGGTGGGTCTGGGAGGGGGTCCTGGCCTCCTCCCAGAGTAAGAAGCATTTGCAATTTTAGAACCAAATTAGACGCATTTTCAGGCACTTCCTGGAGTAATATGACGTAAAATTGCTTTCTCCTACCCCTTCCAAGAGTAGGGATCTTTTGCAATTTGAGAACCACATTTGGCGCATTAATGTCCACCGGCACTTCATGGAGAAAAAAGAGGCCCTCTGATTAGTTAGAAGTTAGAGAAAAGTGATCTGTCACGTCGTGAGAAGTTGTATAAATGATGCTTTGATGCCGCACAATGCACAAATACGGTGGTCGGTACTTCACCAGTAGTACTTGCAAAAATTATCTCGAGTGTATAAACTGTGTCGTTATCAGGGGCGTTGCTAGATTTTTTCAGTGGGGGAGGGGGGGGGGAGGGTGTAGAGGCCGCCGATTACCGACAAAACGAGCCACCAATATTATTACCGACAAATATAAAAATGTCAATGTCCAAATGTCTACAAATTTTACCCTTTAAACCCGGGGCCAGGAACTAAGTTATTTTTCAGTTTTCCCCTCCCGCGCGAAGCGCGGAAGCTTTTACACTTCATTAAATTATTAGAGAAAGAAGACGATCCGTTGTACTGTTCTCAACTCTTAAAGCTTGTTTCGCCCCTCCCGCGCAAAGCGCGGAAGCTATGACGTTAAATTTAATTATTAGAGAAAGAAGACAATTCATTGTACCGGTCCCGACTCTTAATCCTTGTCTGAATTCAGTTCCCCCCCCCCCCCCTCTCGTGCTAAGCGCGGAAGCTTAGACGTTTAATACATTATTACTCTTAATCCTTGTCTGAAATCATTTTTGTGTTTCATTAATTATTAGAGAAAGATTAAGACGATTCGTTATACCGTTCTCTACTCTTAATCTTGTCTGAATTCAATTCCCCCCACTGCATGGGCCCCTTAAGGGTATATGTGCAGTGTTACATGGTGTAAGTATTGAACGCTCGTTCGCAAATCTGTGCATGCTCAGCCCGAGTGGTGGGTAGCATGTTATCTCCCGACAGTACCGTGCTTTGCACAGTAGCTTCTGGAAAGGAATTAGTGTTACTGTTGGTGGCCACTATCAGGCCCTTAGTGACTATAAACAACATACATGCTCTTCCTGGCTATTTGGGAATGGGTCAGTTTGCAAGAAATAATGGAGAAATTATAGCATTTTGTTGAAAATCATATGATATCACGAACATTTATACATTACTTGTGAAAATAAGTCATGGTTCAATTTTATTTGAGGGGGGCTGGCGCCCCCCCAAGCCCCCCCACCAGTACGCCGGAGTTACAGCTCAAATTTTAGATACGTTTCTGAACAAGCGCCAAGGAGACTGGGGTTATTTTCTTACAAGGAATCTGTTTTTTTGCATGCCTGATGCCCGCGCTGGGAACCTGAAACCTGCAGAGTGCCGATGAAAAAAAGACGTTCGCGAACGCAATTTGTCTGTTTTTACGACTCTAGGATATCCTTGTTTATGCAGACGATCCTCATTCTCTGACCAGCGCCCCTAATCATGTCATAAAATAATGATATTTATTACACTGTATCACAGACATAGTAATATTATAAATAACACATAGATCTAGGGCCATGCATGATTGCATCTCAGAGTGAGACTTAACATTGTTAAACGATCCCTTGGATTTATCTATAATCATGATCATGATTTGTAGATCTAGATCTGGTGCTTGCCTAGATCTAACTTTTCATTGAATTGAATCAGCTCAGCTCAGCTCAGCTCAGTTTGCGTCTAGTCGACGAGTACGAGTGTGCTATTGCAATGGACTCTATCAGTCTTTGTTGACTCAGTTTGATAAATTGAGTGTGCTAGTTCGTAGGCCTACTTATAAAAGTAGGCCTAGATCTAGATCAATTATATTACATTACTCAATAGGGCCTAGATATTACAACATGGAAATGAATGTATGGGAATTAAAAACAGTGCATCTCTAACGTTAGACCATTGCATACCGGTAATTTTTCCGCTGTGCAATTACTTTTATCCCTATCTTGTCAAAGATAAAATACAAATAGACTCTAATCTAGAGCATAATATGAAGTTAAACCTACCATTTTCACAGAAATCATCGTAAAAACGTCTCGTCATAATATTTAATCGTCTTCAAATTCATGTCAATCAAGCTAGGGCTGGTTTTGTTTACGAAGCGCCCAAGCCAGGAGAAAAAAGTTTAAGATAAAGTTCACGATAAAATATACGAAATCGTGAATTTTATCGTGAACTTTATCGCATATTTTTCACGAAGAAATTGACGATATCGTGTTATCGTGAACTTTATCGTGAACTTTTCACGAAGAAATTGACGATTTTGTGAATTTCTTCGTGAAAAATATGCGATAAAATTGACGATATCGTGAATTTTATCGCATATTTTTCACGATTTAGTCTTTTCGCGATGTCCCTTCAGGGCCACCATACATTACCCTCCATGTGGTGCGAGAAGACTCTGCAAACTCGCTCATCCATTTTTTTGCATCATCTATTCTTCTGCTTTGACATTTATCACCAGTGATGCTGTGAATCCAGATTCATCATGGCTCTCAAAGTTATTTACATGGTAATGGTATTCATGATCTTCATTATGGGTAGATCTAGGTAGAATTGCCTGCAAAACAAACAAACAAAACAAAAAACAATATTATTCCAAGATCTGTAGAGGGCAAGCTCTATACTATAACAGTTAGGCTAGGGCGTAGGGGGGCTAGATCAAGATCGCAATCTAACTGTTAGATACCGGTAGTAGGGGCCTTGCTTACTAGGTATAACACAGGCACAGCTAAAGTCGGGCAATTGCCACACACAGAACCATCTGTATGTCAGGCTGTGCTAGAAATGGCTGCATGCTGCCATCTTTTTGCTGAAGAATAATCAACTGAATCGCGGGAAGAATAATCAACTGAATCAGGTACAGATCTAAACCTACCTCAAAATAAAATAGGTTATTTTGGGACCATGCTTCAATCCTTGGGTGTTAAGTCTTAACAGATTGAATGTATGCACCTTTGCATGCAGGGGTTTAACAGATCTATCTTTAGTAGGAAATCCAGCAGGTCCTTGTAGGCTGTGCGACTACCCGTTCGAGGGGAGATGACAACAACAGACTCATCCCACTTCTATGCAGAACCCAATCGTACCAGCGCAGTTATCTACCCCAAACTATTACCAATTGGAACAATTTACCCATCGAAATAAAGAACCAAACATCTCATTCTGCCCTAAAGTTTCAAATAGCTCTTAGCAAAGAAGCATAGTCATGTCGCACAGCAGCAGCACCACTCTGGACGACGATGCTGAATAGCGATGTCCGGATATCATCCCGAGTAAATCCTGAGTAAACCTACGAGGTCAATTTTAATTGACCTTGCATAATTGCAGTTTGCACACACAATTCGCCCATGTGTATCGCAAACATCACTACTCAAACTAGATCTACAAGTGAATCCAGATCCAGCAGTTACCATGGTTACTGCAAACCTGAATAAACATGGAATGTTTTGCGAGCCTAATTCATTGCGTCACAGCCTTCAGGGAAACATCGACATGTGAGTTGATGAAGTAAAGTGACACCTACATTAACGCAAACTGAGTCCTAGCCTAGGCCCTAGGCTACGGAAAACATTGACAGTTAAAATTATTAACTGAAAAGTATTAACCATAGTCTAGATCTAGACCTAGTAGATCTAGATTCTATACGGTACGTAGATAGTAGAAGTAGTAAAGTTAGCTTTAGTAGACTTTATTGGAGAACTTGTTTAGCACAGGGCTAGATCTACTTCATATTCATAACTCCTAAGTTAACTCATGAACTGTATTAAGTTAGTAAGTTACACCTTAAGTTAGGCCCTCCTGCAGTCCTAGATAACGTTAGATCTAACGTTGTGTTTGTTTACATTGTTACTTATGCTTAGCTAGTCCAATTGACATTGCTGTTGTTAATGTTGACTGACAGACAGTACTGACAGTGACAGTGACAATGTGACACTGTGCAGCGACTCACTTAGTCTTACTCTTAGTTTTGCTAACTATGGATGCCTAACAGTTACAGTTAATCGTACTCATATAACTACAATTCAAAACTGGATTTACAGTATTCATACCCGCAAAGGCGTCTGCATTGCCACTCCGTCATCATCCTCGATGAATTCCATCGTGCAGCAAGCTTCTTAACTTGTTGTTCTGAACTTGAAATCCTATATCTTCTCCCTTAATCTTCAGTATTGCAGCTGCGTACGGTGTGTATAAATGCTGCATCGACGTACGTCTGTGCATGTACGATTCGATTTGGAACTGGCGCGCCCGATCGAGGAGCGTAGACTAGACTCATTCAAGCAGTTTCATTGCTATTTACCGGGAAAATGTCCAGGCCAGGGTGTAAAACGCAAAGTCGCTGCCCGGGCGTAAGGCTTCTACACCTACAATTTGTGCGCTCGTCGTTGACTTCAAAATACTAGCAGAGAGAAAAAAATGATGTAAAAATAAAAATTGATGAAAATAAGAAAAGAAAATACAATTATACATTTCACAACATACCTTTAATCACGGATCTGCAACGGTCTTTCACCATTTGTTGACGGCCAGATTTTGACGTATTTGAACCCAATAATTGTTGTAGCAGAAGAACATGACGCGCACGCACCACCGACTAAGAAAATCCTAGAGGGCGTAGAGGTTTGCTCACTAAAAACCTTCTCATTGGCAGAAGGTAGACCCTAAAAATATGGGATCCATTTTGAGTAAAGAACTTTTGATAGAGATCAACATTTCAGATGTTCACAATTGCCACTTCTAACAACTAGAAAATATAAAGAAAAAAGATTATATCTTTTTAAATACAGATTTTTACAAACTGGACATTCGAAGGTGGATAGAGTACAATGTTTCTGTCAATCTTGCGTTGGTTTGAGCCCTTTAGCTACACCCATCTCAAAATGAGAAGGAAAACTGTGAACAGTGACGTCATTGTTCGCGCCAAAAATAAAGAATAAAAGTTTCAACTTTGCAATAATGAAAATAAAGTTAGTTTTTAAAATCAATGAATATCTACTTTAAAAAAGATATTTCAGTACAAAAAAAAAGTTTATTTGAGCAGTCTATACTCCAATCAGTGGCATACGCAGGATTTTTTCAAGGGGGGGGGGTTAAAAATCAGGCCAACAATTTCGCAATGACTCAGCCAGCGGCTGAATTAGCGGGGGGGGGGGGGGGGGCAAGAGGACACTTTTTTTTTTTTTTTTTTTTTTTTTTTGGGGGGGGGGGGGGGGGGGGTCTCAAAATTTGAAAATTTGACATTTTTCGTTCCGTTGAAGGGGGGGGGGGGGGTAAGGTCACCTATTTTAGGTCAGCCATTGGCATTATTATCATTTATCTTTTTAATTATTTAAAAAACAAAAAAAAACAAAAACAAAAACAAAAAACAAAAGGGGGGGGGGGGGTTCCAAAAAACATATACAAAACATACACACACAAAAACTCAAGGGGGGGGGGCTTAACCCCCCCCCCCCTGTATACGCGCCTGACTCCAATTGAAAATTGGAATGAATGCCATGATTTGAAGGTGTGTGTTGTATGATATATGGTTAGTGAGTGTGTATGTTACGTATAGCGGGAGGGAGAGAGAGAGAGAGAGAGAGAGAGAAATATTACGTAGTACACGTACGTCTGTACGTTGCATGCATGTTTCAGTCCTATTGTACTCTGTATTGTGTTCGCTGCAAGATGGATGTTTATTGGACCTCGTAACTTCTCGATCGTTGATAATGCAGTGTCAGATTGATCTTTACTCATGAGGAATTACTATTGGATTTGGAATACCACTCAAAACTAAGGTTGGCCTAATTATTAATTTTAATTCTTTTCTTGGATTATATTAGTATATTAGTAGATCCATGGCTCGATTTCAGGACTGCAGCTTGCAATGCATGTGTCGGTGTGTGCGACCGATTCAAGGCTAGCCGCTAATGATGAATGTACTTTTGCGCGAAGTTTTGAACTTGTTATTCGGGTAATGACACGCCTATCCCCTCGGGCCTGTCTTTATGAACGTAATTTTGCGACATGAAATATAATTGTTTCAAGGCTCTTACGTACGGATAGGGGTAGATCGAAGGAAGGGCCTACTTTAGAGCTGGATATCTCCTATTTTATGGAACTTCTGGAGTCGGCAGATGGGTGATTTAATTGTATTAGTGAAAGAAAATACTTGCTTTTAAACTTTGTTTTATTATAATTAGATTAGTAATTAAAAAGTTAGATTTGGGTATTGGCCTCCCTATTATTAGGTCTTAGATTATGTGTATGGGGAATGTCGACAAAGGTCAGTTTTATTAAAGAATGACCCATACTGCCATAGTCATCAGGTCATACCATATACCAGATGGTTGTTTATGTATAAATCTGGATAGACTTCTTAACTAGCGCCGAATATTTTAGTATTCTCTTTCCAGTCAATTCCAATACTCAATCAATAGATCTAATTCCAATAATTCAAATGAACGTTATATCATTCAAGATCGTCATGACATCAACACAATTTCAACCTACCAATACCAGTCACCAACCAACCAGCGCCAACAACAGCAAGACAGATGAGCTTTGACACAGTCGACTCGACTAAAGGCCCGGTCACACAGCCCTCCACGGGCGTATCGCGGCCGAATCACGGCCAAAAATTTCTGCCCGTGAAGCAGACGCTGTTGGACGCTTTGAGGTCGCGATAAAGACGCGATATACAGCCGTACTTTACCCGTCGTTACACGCGGTAAGAAATTCACACGCGGTTGGCCGCGCGAAAAAGTTTTGGGCTGCCCAAAAATTTAGACCGCGGGTAATCGCGGGCGGTACACGTGGTACACGTGGTACACACGCGGTAAAGACGCGGTACAGACGCGGAACGAACGTGCTAGGACGTGCTACGGCCGCGGTTAATACGTGGTTACACGCGGAATTGGACGCGAAATTTTAGCGGGTAATCGCGGGTTGAGCACGGTCATAGCACGTTTGTTCCGCGTCTGTACCGCGTTGTTATCACGTGCATTAGCGTGTGTACCGCGTGTAAGCGTGGTAGGCCGCGGTACCGCCGCGCTTCACCCGCGATAAGGACGCGGAACAGTCGCCGGCGTCTGTTCCGCGGGCATACCACGGGTAAACCGCGGGTAAGCCAATTTTGCACATTTTCCACCACGGGCAACCGCGGGCAAAAAAAAAATCGCGAAATTTTACCCGCG